CTCCAGGCGTGGCTTGCTCCTGGAGCTTTAATCTCCCTGCCTTGGCTGAAGGAAAGCCATGGGGTTCTTTTTGTCTGGTTTTGTCTGATGCCATCATCACGTGAAACAATATTTTAAGAATGTGATGAAGTGGGGCTGGAGATACAGTTCCCTGGCTAAGGAGATGGGTTGCTCTTACAGAGGCCCCAGGTTTAGTTTCCAGCACCCATATTGAGCAGTTCACAAACACATTCCAGGGGAATGCAATGCCCTCTTCTGGCCTCTGTGGAAGGCTTGGTGCATGTAGTGCCTAACTTACACAGGCACATGCTCACAAAGATATATAAAAATAAACATATCTTTTAAGAACAAAAATGTGACTGGGGCATCCCCAGAGTTGAGCAAAGCCCTGCCTTGTGAAAGATTACCCATGTGTTTGTTCTGTTACAAGCAAGCGATACTGAAACTGAGGAAGGCGCACAGGTCAGCCAGGGAGCATGGCTCCACCCCAGAGAGGTCCGGCTCTGAGCCCCTCTGTGGCAAGATGAAATTGGTTAAGTTAACTTCGTTTCTCAAAAGATGATGCAAACAGAAGGACCTGAAAGTCTGCCATGTTTTCTTTTAAATTACACCCACCCACTTCATTAGTCAAACACAGTTTCTGTTCCCTTAAAGTAGTAGGCCAACAAGATGTGTAAATATGCTCAAGCCACTTATATAGGTCAGCTAATACGGGCTATGGTTCTTTAAGTGCCACCTGCTAAGCCCACACTGTATTTTGCTAAGGAAATTCCAGGACATAATAATATCCTAATCAACCACAAAGAACAATCCCAGATCTGCCTGTTGGGCTGATAATTGCCTTATCACACCCAGTGAAACCAAGCTCCTCCGCTGTCTGATGGAGCCTCGGTTCCTTGGCAGCCCGTTCTAAGAAAGGCCAACAATGGAGAGGGAGTGGAGTGTGCCCGAACCTCCGTCTCTACATAAAGGAGATTAGAGGCGACAGCGTTCCATTTTACAGCTCAATCATATTGTGTTAGCACGCGCTTATCCGAGCGCGGACGAAATTGAAAGAGAAATAAAAAAGAGCCAGGCAGATAGGAAGCAGAAAAGCGAGGCATGAGCAATTTCCAAGGGTATAAAGGGATGCTAATGGCAGGGCCTGTCATTCTTAAAAAGGGCTATTAGGGCACCGTCATCTGTTCTTGTGCCCTTACACTCCTCCAGCTAAAGTCAAGCATTTTCTGAAGCCCTTGTGCTGCTTTTTTTTTTTCTTGCTTCTGTAGATAAGTGTGGTCATGTTTCACAGTAGCTCGTGTCCCCATCCCTGTGATTTATTAATGCAAGCCAACTAATTCTATTTACTGATAAAACCCCTCACTCCCTATGTATTTTTGTTCAATATTTTCTTTGGTAGAACTCCTCACTTTTCATAAGGCTGAAGCCAGCATGCTAAAGTGGATTTGCAGCAGTGCAGAGGGGGAGCTGGCCTGACCCGAGATGCGAAGCTTCAAGCACGCCAGTGAGCGTGAGAAGAGGCTGTGGATCACAAAGGCTTGAATCGTGTGTGTGTGTGTGTGTGTGTGTGTGTGTGTGT